GGGCCAAATGGCGGTTGGCTTCAGGGGTATTGTGTGACCCGAAGATTTCGCCCAGGATGAAAGGCAAGTTCTACCGATCCGTAGTCAGACCTGCTATGTTATATGGGGCAGAGTGTTGGGCGGTTAAGAAGACTCATGTGCGTCGTCTGCATGCGGCGGAGATGCGGATGTTACGATGGATGTGTGGGAAGACAAGGTTGGATAGGATTTCGAACGAAGTTATCCGACGTCAGGTAGGCATGGCGCCGGTGGAAGATAAATTGCGGGAAGCGAGGTTGAGATGGTTTGGTCATGTGAGACGGCGGGATGCTGACGCCCCTGTACGGAGATGCGAGCGGATTACGGTTTTCGGGGGAAGTAGGGGAAGGGGTAGACCTAAGAAGAATTGGGAGGAAGTGATTAAACAGGATTTAGGACTTCTCACCCTGACTGAGGATATGGCTTTAGATAGGAACCTTTGGAGAACTAGGATTAGAGTAGCTGGTTAGGAACTCGGTGCTATAGAGGTTTTTTGTAGTGTGTTGTGTTTGATTGGAATCTTCTATTAATACTTGTAGAACTTTCTTTTCATTGTACTTGGTGTTTTATCCATGCTATACTGTATACCCTATCATATTTTTTGTGCAGGTTGAGCCGGGGGTCTCTTGGAAACAGCCCCTGCTTCCAAGTAGGGGCAAGGTCTGCGTACACACACCCTCCTCAGACCCTACTGTAGTGGGATCCAACTGGGTTGTTGTTGTTGTTGTTCAAATTTTAGGTTTGGGAATCCTAAAAATTTAGATTTGGATTTGAAGCAATTTTTTTGAATTCATCTCAAAGCTTAATTGCAAAATCACTTTTCTCCCCTTGTCATTTGAAATTTAAGAATTCACATTTTGGGATTGGAATGCAAGAATTAAAATAAAATGCTACTTCCCAAACAATACCTAAGTTAATTACATAATTTTCTCATTTCAATTACAGTTTCGGCCACTTCAACCAAATGAACCAATCCAAGCGTTTCAGCCAAAGTTTGCTCTGACGAAACAAGTTCATGCTATGTTGCTTAGATTTCAAATCATTTTAGCCATTCATATCTTATCATCAAAACTTCATTAATACCCCAAAAAACACTTTAACACACTTCCAAGTTTCATCGCTATTGTTTCATCTCTATGAGCCTAACATAATTGGTATGTGCTAGAGTAGAACAGTTCCGAATCATATTAGCCAAACCAAATCAAGCAAACCCTGCATTTTGAATTCAACAAAGGAGTAGAAAGCCTCTTTTTGAAAAGATTTCCAACAAACCAGATTGGCACATTTAAATGGAAATCAAATCAATACATCATTAAAAAAACATTAGACCTTGGTAATTATTTACCCGGTAAACAACAGCTGCAAGATTCCTAGCTAGAGTATCCTTGTAAATGTACTTCCCAATAAAGTTTTCCTTTGCAGCAACCATAAGTTTCGCACTTGTACCACCAGTAACAATATTGAGTGGGAACCAAAGATAAATCTGATGAATACATTTGAAAGAAGTGCATCAGAACTCACAAAAGAGTTGAGTGAGCAAGCTCTTAATGTCACCAATTTTACTACAAATACTCCCCCCGTCTTGTAAAAAACTTCTTGATTTTACTTTCACGGAGTTTAAAAACTGTTGAAAAGTGAAAAGAGGTGGGTAGAATTTGATAAGAGGGAGACATTTTTCTGAGCCCTTAAGGTGTGCCAAAAAGCCAGTGGCAACAGACCCAATCCATTATTACAGATATAAAATGATTCATAATTTCATCATTCAAATAATCAAAAAAAATGCAGAAAATCAATAAAATGTGTTCATTATATACATATGGCATCCAACAAGAGAGAGAGACAGAGAGAGGGGGTTTCTAACACTGGCCATGCGAATGAAAATGACGAATTTGGGGTTGCCATCATCCTCAAGCTGGGGAAGAGGGGGAGGAGGACTCATGCGCTGATAAGGACGCGGTGCCATCCCTTTCTTTCCCTTAGCTTCAATCACCAATAAACATCCACCGCGTTGCCTTTTCCGGGCGGCGGCGGCGGCGGTCTTTCCGGAGCATATGAGTGACGAATAAGTGGCGCCGTCCACCGGAATTCTTCGAGGCGGTGGTCTCGATAGGGGGTTCAAAGAGATAGCCACCTCCATTTTTTTCAATTCTATGCTTTCTATCTGATTCACGAATTGCAGATTGCTATTCTACTTCGAATTGCTTGGATTTTTTCATCAGCTTATCCACATATTTCGTCTCATTTACCAAGTTACAACACACTCCAAACACGGTACAAACAATAATATAATCTCACCCCAGAAAGTACATTAAAAAAAGATGGCCAAACTTTAATTTTAATCAAATTATTTGTGAATAATAGAAAAAAATATATTTAATTATCATGTAAATTTAGTAAAATTAAATTTATCTTAAAATATAATTTTAAAATATTAACTTTGGTCTTTAAATAATATTTAATTATTTTTAACCTTATAAGATTAATAGTCAAAGAATCTTACAGTTTGATAAAAAAAATCAAAACAATCTTTTAGAGAATAAGAGAGAATAATGTTCATTTCAACAAGAAGTATATGCTTACCAATCTCATTTGTAAATGCACAGTAAACCTAAGATTCATGGTTCAATTTTTAATCATTAAAAAAGTTGATCCCTCGTGGCAAAGCCATGTCTACTTCACAATCACCTAATTTCCACTATGTTTGGTTCAAAAAATTTGGTAGGAAAAGAAAAAGAAAATGATTTCCCCCATTCTTGTCACCAAAATAGGAGGAATTTGGGTTTTCTTCCTCTTAGTATATTTTGCTTCCTCTCTTTCTTTTCCTTCCATGTTTTTTTTCTTTTCCTCTCTAACCAAACAAGAAAAATATTTTCTTCCTCATTTTCTTTTCTTTTGCCTTTCAAATTTCTTGAACCAAACATAGTGTTAATTTCTTCTTTTTTTTTGAATAAAAAAAAGAAGAAATTAACACTGTTTAGTTTCCTCCTTTTTTTCAATTTTTTGTTTAGTTGCTTTCTCCTTTTTTCAGTTTTGTTCGCTGAGTTGCTCTCTTCTATGTGAATTTTTCTTCTATGTAATTATGAAATACTACCTCCGTCTCATTGTCTTTGTCCAGTTTTGACTTTTGGAATTGTTCATCTAAGCACTTTGACTCATCAAATTCTCTCAATGTGTAAGCCTAAAAATAGTCATTTGTGATCTTGTTTGATTCGTCTTAACATATAGATTATTAATATATAATTTTTATAATTTTTTAATATACAAATTACAAGATAAAATAAATTAAAGAAGTGCATTGGATGGTGTGCCAAAAGGTAAGTGGACAAAGACAGTGGGACGAAGGGAGTATGTATTAAAGCTTCAATATTTTTACAGATTTTAATAGTATATAATTTAAGAGATGTTTAAAAAATTGTTTAATTTCTTTATATAAAACTAGATTGAATTTAAACTGAATAGAAATATGTAAATATTAAATAAAAATTAAAATTTAGTCATTGTAGTAGAATTGAGGCACTACGGGTATGAACTGAGTAAGATGGTGAGTATTGTCAATGCTGATGTGACGATGAGTGGCTATTGATTTTGAAGCGAGAAGTAGTGAAGCACCATGGATAAGCTTATCCATACAAATTCTTCATTATAACTCCTATCATAATTAAAGGGATGTGAAAGATAACCACCGGTGGATGTTTTATTTTCGACTGACCATTAAGTGTGTGATAATCCAGAGTTCGAGGGAGAGATTTATACAATACACTCACTTATAGCCAATTGGAAACTGATCCTCTTCCAGGTACGTTGTTCATTTAGTGATGTAAACTCCTCAATACCAAAAACTATTACCAAAAACTTGGTTACATGTGGTAGGTTCAATAGTAGGATGGGTAGATTCAAGAGTGATGGAAGTATAGAATTGTAGTTTGACGATGTCAGATTTGGCTCAGGTTTGCATATGATGAGTATTTGTGGGTGGTGTTGGAGTTTGGGTGTCGTGACGGTCGATTGTGGGAGAGTGACGACTCATAGGTTGGACTGCTTGGAAGGGTTCAGCAGTAGGGAATAAAGATGATCGACTGTGGTGGAGGGAACGCTTGAGTGGATTGACCACTTGTAAGGATTCAAAGAGAGTGGTGCAGAAGATCGACCGCAAGTGGGATGATGAGGAAGCTACTCGACTGTCTAGGAGGTAGATTCAATGGAGACAACGTGTAGAGAGGGTGGTACCTAAGCATGTGAGCATGAATGATTAGAATAGAGAGGAATAATGGCTAGAGAGTTGGAGGAGGTTAGATTATAAAGAAGTGTGGAGTAAGAAAGTGATCTTTAACAAAACGAACGTGATGGGACACATATGTTCTTTGTGAAACTAGGTCGTAGCATTTGTAACCTTTCATGGTGGGATGATATTCAAGAAAGACATAAGGGGTGGACCGAGGTTAATGTTTGTGATAAGTGTGAGGTTGAAGGCAGGGATTCACGAGGTAACCAAAGGGATGTAGGTGGACATAATAAGGGAGGTGACCATATAAAGCTTTAACGGGTGATTTATTTTCCAGATTTTTTGTTGAAAAATAGTTGATAAGATAGTTAGCCGTAACAAGAGCATCGACCTAGAATAGAGCAAGCAGATGGGAGTCATAGAGCAACGTAGCGATATTCTCAATTAGGTGACATGTTTGCGCTCAATGATCCACTCTACATACGAGTATAAGTGCAACACCCTAACCTGCATAACCCGAATTCACGGGTTAGCAAAAGAGTTGTTACCATTCCGGTATCCAAACACACTAATTTCAAAATAATTTAAAACATCCAAACAGTTCTTGATTTAAAACCCAACATTGGAGTAAAACAAAACAGGTGCAGAAACTTAATAATTAAAATTTCACAAGTTGGGGCCAACCTCTGCCAAAGTAAAAGAAACTTCACAAGGGAATTGTGTCCTTCAAATTTAAAGGTAATGGACTCCACTTTTTCTTTCTCTCCACAAAATCCATCCCTATACTACAACAAAGCCATGTCCATTTTTTCACTTAATGAGAGGGACCCTAGTTCTCTACCATAAAAATAAAGGGGTATATAAAAAAAAGGGGGAGAATGCTTCTAAAAATGCTTCTAAATAAAGGGGGAGAATGGAAATGGTTCACACTATATAAAAATATTATCAAATTAAAAGTGTAGGTTATAAACATGCCCCACCAATATACTCCCTCAATATAAGCCCTGCAAAGAGTGACTCAAGTGCTCAACTAGCCATTTACACTTTACCTCATATAACTAAAACCACAAACATACCCCATCAATTCATTCTATTCCAAACATCATAAACTCCATCCTAAAGGAAAAAAAACCAACACCTGCATAAGCTACAATTTCTTTTAAGATGAACATGCAAATATTCCTGAAGAAGTAATTAAGGAGGGGATGCTAATCAAGAACTATCAATGAAAGAATACTAGCATCATAACAGAGTCATAAACCTCCCAACTGTTATCAAAGTATTATCAAGTGAGTGGGTTATAAATTCATAATATTACATTTTAGCCTATAATTATAAGTTGTTGAACTAACCTTTCAATGATTTTTTGAAGTTTTGGTCTCATTTGATCTAATTGGATCTAGATTCCTTCCAAATTAAACTTAAAATTAGGGGAGGGTTAGAGGAGATAAGAATCGTCACATTTACAAACATGCACCGTAAGTACTCCAAACAAACCAATGTAATCAAATAACACCAATAACACCTGTGTCATTTTAGAGTTACACACACACAAAAGCTTTATTCGCACTTTGTGCGAGTAGTTCCCAATATAGCATAAAATTGTTGAAAAGCATATGCAAACAAGTGAAGACTTTTTTAGTACTTTGAAAAATGAAGGCTTTTAATTCTTAATTAAAGTATTGCGTAACTCATCTTCAAAGTTGAGAGTTGCTAGTGTTCTGATAATTGAGAATTAGAAATACTCCAAGAACATAAATACTAATCCGTTCAATGTTAGTTAACCCCATCGGAACACTTAACAGGGACATTCAAAGTCAATGTATTTGTAATAAATAGCTTCTCACCAAGGAAGACCCACAGCAACAAAAACACACACACAAAGTAGCATCCATTGATTCACCCACACATTGGACGAGACAAACCTAACATATTAAGTGAGCCGCCTTGTGCGTAAAATAGGTCCCTCATAGTACTTCTGCCCTTCAGTGAATTTGTTGACTGGATGAGGAATCCCCTTCCCTTCGCAATATCGGCAGTCATCACATGTAGTCTTGATGCCTAAAAAAACAAATCAAACCTTTTCACGATGCCTGCAAATGAACATAGCAATGCTCTGTAATGTGGTGATGTATAGACTAAGAAAAAAGTTTAAAAGTTCTCACGACTGGTAATACGAGTCACACTCTGGAAATGATGCTTCTGAAGCTCGTATTGGTAAAATTCAGCAAAAAAGAGCTCTGGAACATTAGATGTTTCAGTTGCAGCTTTGAAAGCACAATGAATCCAGATCTTGTATACAGGAAGAAGAAACCCATTGCAGTTGATGACTTCCACAAGCTTATAATTTGTACCCTGCAAGAGCCAAGAAATCATACCTGCTGATGAGTGGGTGACATCAGATGCCAACAAAAAAAAGGACGAAAAAAGAAGACAGCACAATATAAATAGACTAAGTTTTAAAAATCATCATGCTTAGTACATGTCTCCTGTTGTAGCGAGCAAGAGCAGCCAATGCCCATCGCAGGTGCAGGTTCCTTTGTCGTAGTTCTTTTTGAGTGAACCCGCTTGTCTTCTCCCAAGGATTTGGGTCATTTTGCCTGGTCACCAAAACAAAGATCCAACTCCATATTTGGACATCATCAACAGAAGCATTACAAACTCACACACCCAATAAAAAGAAGGTTACAAAGTGATTGTATGTGATAAGGATTTGGAAATCATTAATACTTGTAGAATAAATGCTCAATGGAAAAATTCATCAAGAGCAATGAAGCAATCACTATTGAACTAATCAAGAACCAACCAGTTTACACCTTAGATTTCTCATTCAAACTACAAAAAACCATAAACTTATACGGCTACAAGCAGAGATGTCGCCCAACATCACGAATTACGAATTGGGAGCATTTTGTGGGTGGGTGCAAACTGCAAAGTGATGAGAAACAACTACTGGTTTGAGGGTGTTATGTGCGTACGTTGTTTTCAAATGTGCACACAAAATGATAGACATGTCATAAAATAAGATAGTGAAAGTCATAAACTGAGGCATGCCACCAAACTACGGCACAAATTAAGGTTTAAGAACATTTTATGGATGGATGGGTGTGTGAGTGGGTGGAGATTGAGACGCTGGGGGGAAGTAATGAGTTTGAGGGTGGTACTCACATTTGAGGTTTTCAAAACAAAGGGGGAAAGTCATTAATTATAGATCAAGAGAGGCATGTCACCCCTCACCCCACTACATCACAAATTAGGATTTGCAAACATTTTGTGTGTGCATGTGCGTGCGTGAGTGTGTGAGAAGTTGGGAAAGTGATTAGAAACAATGGTTCAGGGACGTTACTCTCTTCTGTTTTTGAGGTATGTCGGTTCAGACATTGGCCTGCGATCAAGAACTGGATCACGAAGGAAATCGGGAACAGTGCGTATTTGAACTATACGTTGACGCTTAGGCTTCTTCTGCAACACAGGAGCAGGAGGTTCCACAGGATGCTCTGGACGTAGGAGGGACATGTACATTTTTTTTATCTTCATCAGTAACTTTGGTCTGGGGATGTAGTAACCCCTCCAGAAGCTCCTTTTCTACTTCGTCTGGTAAATTTCTGGTCACGGAAAAGAGGACACAAAGTTATATTTATATGTATGTAATTTTGAAGCAAAAGGCATAGGCTTTGCGCACAAAATCGAACAAATCTAGGGTAAGGAATCAAACAAATCAATTTTGTGCAGAAAAGAAGAAATGGAAGATGATCTACGAAACGAATAAATCAATCCAAATACGTAGTCAAAGCTGAACTACTGGGCCGCCCGGGCCACATGTTAATATTTTTACATTGATTGCCTGTCGCAGTGGTAAATTTGTGAAGTTTGTGATCATTCTGTTTGTGAACCTAGCATTGTTCTAAAAGTATATCTCGTAATTACTTTGCTCAATTAATATCTTCATATTTTGTCCTTAATTTGTAACTTGCAACAGGGACTACTTTGATATATAATCATAAAGACTAATGTGAAACAATTTTTCTTTTGAATTGTTGGAAAAAAGTACTTAATGCAAAAATATTTTAAATTAAACAAATTAAAATATCCATTAAAAGGAGATCAAAATTCAGGTCTAGACGTAAAGACTGAATTTAACAAAACCACGGATCAAAGACTAGATCTAAACCTATTCTCTTTTGGACGAAACCAGATCAAAATATTAACACGGAGTACTAATTTCTGGTCACCAAAAGAGGACGGAAAATGATATCAACACGGAGTACTAATTGCTTTGTGCCAAATCAAAAAAAGCAATTAAGCAATAAAACAAATTACGAGGTTACAAAAATAGAAACAAGATGTTTGTTTGATACGTTCGCAATAGGAACGCATAGAACAAATGGCAGATGATCTCAAGAAAATAATCAATCAATCGAAAATCAATCAATTGAAAATCAAGATCGAAACGAAAAAGAATGTTTCATAGGACATGGAAATTTGGATTGATTGCCGGGAGAGAGGCTCGCTTTCCAGAGTCAGAGGCACAGACTTTAACTTTGCACCAGAAACTTCCGCCATCCCTTCACAGTCTGGACTGGCGGGTACCGGTTCCGGATAGGCCGGTTTCGGCCACCCCCAATTATTATTTTTTTGCTTTTTTAATTAAATTTTTAAAGTGTAAAATCGTAAATTCGCAATTGTTAAAGGAAAAGATGAAATAAAAAAATCTAAAAATTGAAATGTTAAAGGAAAGAATCAAATAAAAAAATAAAAATAAAAAAAATTAATAATGGTACCGGAACCGGAACCGGTACCGTCGGTTCCAGTACCAAAAAATGGGCACCGGAACCGGTACCGGAGGGGGCGGTTCCGGTACCAGTTCCTGGAACCGGTGGAACGTCCCGGCCGACGGTGACGGTGGCGGGTACCAGCAGTATCGTTGTCTGTCACGGTACTGTACCAGTACCGTGTCCACCCCTATTGCCAAGGTTCCGATTAAGTTTTTTTTTTAAAAATATAATCTGAAGCTTGGAAACACGAAAAACATGGAACTCTCCCATTCCCACAGGCCGTGTTCACGCTGCTTTTCGTTCCTGTTTGGATTATATTTTATTTTTTCGAAAACTAACCAAGGTAAACCAGAGGTCTCGATTGGACGTGTCCGTTACTCGTCTAAATTGGCCTTGACAAGTGACGGGACGTCGGGGTGGCACAAACTTAAAATTTTGAGGGATTTTATTGGAGTCTTGCACTCTTGCCTATAGCATACACCGCAGGTATGCACTAGCAAAAGCCACATACATGCATACAGTCAATAATGCATCACAAACATATGCATAATAAATAAACGTGAAAAGATTGTGTCCCTTAAAGAACTAACAATAACACCTTCTTTAGATCTCAATCTCCGGCCTATCATATCTTATTCAAGAAGCTTCTTCAAGAACGGCTCTTTACTCTTTGGTCTTCATTCATATAATTTCAAAAGAAAAGAATATGAAGTAAAGAAGAGAATTACGTATAGAAATGAGGCACGACACACACGCCGTGTTTATAATTTACAATAAATTTAATTAGACCAATATCATCCACCATGCAATAATATATACAAGCATCATATGCATAATATCATTCTCCAAAAAAAAGGTGAAATCGCTCACCCCGGGCGCCCCTCACCCCCGACCCGACGGGATTGTGAGAGGAGGTAAATCATGGTGACCCAAGCACAACACTTAGCTAGACCATATCCTAGTACGCACCAGAGACTCCCCCCATTTTTCAGAGGTGGTCGCCTCCACAACGGTCGCTGCCAGGTTTCGATCCTTGGTCATTCTCCAAACTTCACCATGTGCTTGCCACTTGGGCTTCCCGTGCGGGTCATATGCATAATATCATACTCCGTACATATTAAAGCACATTTTGAGTGAACCTTGCTCGCCCCAAAACCCTAGGGGAGAAGCACTCAAATAGCACTACTGTTCATGTTTTAGTACTTATTTAGCACTCCTATTGAGAGAAGTAATTTGCAACATTTAGTGTGATGTGCAATTCCAGTTTTGTCCCTGTAGTTTAAATAAGGATACGATTTCATTTTAAGGTGGCAGTGCTTATTCCGTTTCCTAAGAGCGGTGGTCACGCGTCGGATTTGAAATAATAGTCGCGCCCGGATTTTGAGCTCGGGAAATCAGACGTTTGTTTCGCACTTCCCAGATTTAAAATTCTGTGAATATGAATCCTACGGAGTTTGCAACACCAGATAGTCCTATTCCTCAGAGGAGACACAGTGCAAGGATCGCAATGGCAACTGCGGAAGTGTTGTGCGGGCAAGAACAACAATTGACAGAGGATGACGCTCTTGATGAAATTCCTCTTAGTAAACGGATGGAGAAGATTCAGGTACGGTTTTCTCGTTGAATAAATCAGGGTGATATGTTAAAAGTTCGAATTTGGGCATCATGCATGGCTTTGTTAAGATTGTTTGTTGGGTGATTTCGACATTTCTTTTTTTTTTGGTAATTTGAATGGTTTTTTGTGGGCAAGTATGATATGTGTGATATATTGCCTCAAATTTCAGATTCTTGTAGATGAACAGGTTTGTTGCTATTTTTTAAGGTTTTAGGGTTTTGGGGTTTAGTGCTTGGTAGTAAAGAGCTCTGGTCGTGTAATTAGGAGTGTATGTGCAATTGTATTGTTAGACCTTTGGAAGTGTGTGTGTTGTGGACACTGTGTAAACCTTTTTACATTATGCAGATGTTTTGTCAGTATTTGCAATGTTTTTATATTTTGTATTTTGGGTTATTTTGAGCTGGAAGTATGGTATGTGTTGTGTAATGCCCAAAGTTTCAGAATGTAGTAGATGATGAAGTAGCTATTTTTTTATTTTTTTGGGTTGGGTATTTAGCATTTGTTATTAAAATAGATCTGTTCTGGTAAACTGTATTTGATTTGCAAATTGTTATGACTTTATGGACATGTTTCGTCTTCAGAATTGTGGTAGCACTTGGCTTGAATTTCCTCTTGTGAAGTTTTTTTTTACGTTTGGTTGCGTGTATGCGGTGTCATTTGGTTTACTCCCGCACCATGGTTACAGTTCTTTTCATAACATGTGTAGTAATATGGCCTGAATTATATGTTGGTTTTAATGTCATTTTAGTTGTGGTGTTTTTTTCGTTGGGCATTTTATGGTATGGATTTGTCTTGGATTTCTCACACTTCTTGTAGTGCACTGTGCATGTTGATAGTTGGGATGATGGGATTTTGTTGTGGAAGTGTGTGTGATTCGTCTGTCTGTAGTTTAGGCAAAAGCATTGTTTTGTTTTGTAGTTTCAATATGGCATTGCAAGTGTGTATTGGTGTAATTTCATCATGGCAGTATGCATTTCCATTATCTTATTTTCATTACGGTGGACATGGATATTTGACTATTTGATATTCGGGTTTTAATGTGAGTGCTTCTCCCTTTTTTTAATGTGAGGTTGGATGTTAGTTTTTTGGGTTAACAATGCATACTGCCATTATGCCTGGATGGCTTTACTGTGGAGAACAAGACATGGTTGTTTATTTTTATAATGCATCAGAATCTTTGAAGAGTTGCAATGCCTTAGGAAGTGGGGACATGTGAGTGGGTTTGGGAATTGGCATGTTGATGTGGTTTTTGGCTATCATTTGACTTTTGTTTGTGCTTTGACATTATACTGTCAGTGTGGGAGTGGGGAGTTGTTGTTTAAAAACAGATTTGTAAGCATGTATATGGGGAAGTGTGATGGCCTTAATGGGATAGATAGTGCTGGTGGGGTGTCATAGGGGATGTAGGAAGATTCCTAATAGGACGGGGGAGGATGGGCTTTGCGGGATTGACTATGTGTGAGGTAATGGCAGTGTGGTTTGTATATGTTTAATGGAAGTGGGAGATAAGAATTTATGTTTTGATTTGTTTTTTTCTCTTTTGTGAATAATGACTTTAGTGCCTAATGGTTTGTTGTACAGCATGTTGAGATAGCAATGTATTTCCTGGAGGTGAAAGGCAGATAGTACAATCACCTGCAGATGTACACGACAAGGAGTCCTTACTTCTTACAGGGGTTGCAAAACCACCAAGAACTGGTTAATGTTGGCCAGGCGAAGGAGGAAGTCATCAATAATCTGAACCTAACTAGTGAGGTCAATGGATTGGCGCGCGAATATGCTAGGCCATGGTCTGTGTGTGATTTTGTGTATATGCCCCTTAATACCGGTGACCACTGGGTCTTAATTGTCTTGGAAGGGGAAGGAAGGACTATACGGGTGTATGATTCAAAAGGAAGGAAAGGAAAGGGGTGCAGGGCATTAAATACGTTTATGCAATGTATTACAGAATTGCTTCAAGTCCTCCTTGATATGTTGCATGTGTACGACGAGCACTCCGATGGACCAATGGGCAAACGAAAGTTCTGTATCGAGGCAATTGATGGTTGTCCGCAGCAAGATGACGGGTAAGTGGGAAATTTACAGGTTGAATAGTGGAGTGATGGTAGATTCTAATTTGTTCAGACTAGGGATATGATTAGAATGGTTAACAATTGTGTTTAAAAATGCAGGTGTAATTGTGGAATGTTTATGCTAAAGTTTGTGGAGTACCTGATGATGGACGGGGACATCACTGAGGTGCATTCACGCGACATGGAGAGGTATCGGGTTAAAATGACTACGAAGCTCATAGTTTATAGTAAGGAGCAGAAAGAGAAGGCCGGATAGAAGTAGGCATATGGTGTGATTGTGCACGACATGTTCTATAAGAAGGTGGATTTGGTATCTAGGATTATTGCTTTCCGATATTATTTTGGGGCAGACACTGACATTTGGTTTTTGTTTATTCTGGTCAAACATCGTTTAGTGGTGGAGTGTGGATGGTAACTTACGTTTTGAAATGTTTTGATGCGTGAATGGTGACTTGTTTTCTGATTGATGGTTTATGTTTAAATTTGGGTTTGTTTGGTGTGCATTTTTTGAGTGTATAGTGCTTGGCACTTTGAGTTTGCCTGGGATTGGTATGCTCAAGGACAACAGCTGATATGAGCCACCCTCCGGTGAAATGTCGTGTTTTGCTTTACATTGCCAGGGCTTGTGTTCAAGAGCTCTGGTATCACGCACTGCCTGATTTGTGGTGGGTAGTGTGTGATAGGTCGCACATTGAGTTTAGGGTGGGGGTATGGGACGTGTATGTTCGGGCTAGTATACATGTTTAATTTTTTAAGGGCAATATATATATGGGAGGGGTTGTAAGAGAATGTATGGAACTTGTGATATTGGAGTTAGGCTGATTGTGTTTTTCGCACGGGTGTCATTTATATGTTTAGAGGTGGGTGTGCAGTGTGAGTGTTGGAGCGTGGTATGGCTGTGTGAGATGGGGGTACAAGTGTGTAATTCGCTCAGGGCTAGTATGCATTTAGGGTAAGTAATGATTGTATACAACTCAGATTCATAAGAGGGTGAGATTGTCTGATGATCTTGCATTGTTAATTTGGTTGGTTGGTTTAGCGCTTCTACAGCTGAGGTTTTGAATTTGGGAAGTTCTTGTTTTTGGTAGATTTGTGTAGTGGTAGTATGGAGTTGGGTTTTTGGGGTTGGATAAGTACGGTTCAATTTGGTTTTTTTTCCCCGGTATAATGGCAATGTGTTTTGGACGCATTGTGATGCTTATATATGAATGGGGATATTTGCAGTGTATGGTTGTTTTTTTGTCTAGGGGATTGTGCAGTGTATATATGTGTAGATTTTTAGTTGTTTATTTGAGTACCGCCATATCACCGACTGCATGGTTGTGGTGTTTTCACACTGCCATCGTTTGGCATGGTCTGGATAGAATGATGTAGTGACATGGTTGATGTCTCATGTGCTGTATACTGGTTTGGCGTGTCATGTTGTTGGCAGTGTGGTAAAATAGACTTCTTTTTATACAACTACAGGGACAGTAGGTGTGCTACTGTTCGTTAAAGAGCATATCTTACAGTGCGAAATACTTGCAACATCTTAACGGTATAATACTGACAGGGCAAGATGGATTAATAGACATTATTGTATAACATTGCAACAGCATAACAAGGGGGGGGGGGGGGGGG